ATTCTCATTATCACAGACAATGTAAAACAAGCGCAGAACATCCCCAACGGTGTACGTCAACTGCATCCGGACGTGCAATTCACTAGTTGAACTGAATAGAACAATAACTTGGGTTTGCTTGACATAAACATCGTTCAGTGACCGAATGGAATCGTCCCAAGATCAGACAAACTTAACGCACCCTGGAAGGGTCATTACATGCATGTTGGAAGTTTTGTACCAATTTCCTACTCTCGTCCATATCCTATTTGATAGAGTGCGACGAATTTGCACTGACTCTACGATATCGAACGAAATGAGCTTGTTGCAGAACACAGAAAAAAAGATGATCCCAAGGATTTCGTGGACAGACACAGTAAACTAAAGACGTCAGCTTTCAGATTGGAGGTCACAATGTGCCTTCTATCCGAAAGTTACCAATCTATTCCATCAACATTTACAATCCGGATTTAGAACACAACTACACCCAGAGGTTTGCACAGGAAAAATAGCATACCCCTCAGCCCCACGTCCACCCCCCTGGAAAGAACACCTGCCTCTATACGCGATCAAAATCGCATAGGCAGAACACAGGAGTGGTAATCAGATAATTGGGTTTTAAAACATATTCTAAACTGGGTTCAACGCAAAGTTGCTTTGTCGGGGCAAGGACCGTGCACATAAAACGCCGAACTATTCAATTGTCAAACTTTTATCCATGACTCAACTCCCCGTTGGATAAGGGGAATCATTTCTGATTGTTTATACCATTGATAATGCTAAACGATTGAAATCAATCGGTAGAAGCAGCTTTTGTGTCACAAAGGACTTGTTCATTACCTTTGCTTTGTTTTGGTGACACACATTGTATATGTCTGTAGTGGATACCGGTCAAGATGTAACCAAATCGTCCAGGGCATAAATCGTACTGTGCTGCTATGCTGGTCTCCCTTATTGAAGCGATTTACGACAAAGCGAGTATTTATCACTGTGCTACTCATGAGTAACTTAACAAGAATGTCCTCATTTTGTCCACTTGACAACACTGGGAATGGCACTCGTCTCCAAAAGATCACCGTCGAAGGAATCTGACTGAACCTGATAGACAAAATGACGCTCCTAGTGATCTGGTTTTTATTATGCAGACTAAATTGAAATGAACTAATCCATTGTATAAAACAATATATAGAAAATTTCTAGGGTCTCGAATTAAGTATATCATATCACCATGTAACTATACCATTGGCTGTTTAATCACGCCAGATGCGAGTATGGGCATTATTCACATTCATGTAAGGGAAATTTTGTTTTTTAACCATATATATATATATATATACAAATATATATGTGTGTATGTAATGTTGTGGAGTAGCCTCAGAATTATGAATTGTGGAAATTATAGAATACATAATCATAAGCAATGACCAAACACACCAGCAAGTTGGTGGGTGAACGGATTTCACAATTTCAGTCTCCTTTCGAAATAGCCTTCATCAATCTCACCCACGGAGTCGGTTGGGAAAATGGTACTGCCGCAAAGAGGAGAGTAAATGGTGGCTGTAAAGGTGATGACTAAATGTCGGCAGTTCGCTTATCTGGAGGATTTGGCAAGCTCTGATGCCAAACCACATATGATGAGTCCTACGAGCTATCCCCAAGACTCAGAGGTATCAGTTTGGTTGGGTGAAGGGGTCCATTGGACATCGAAAACTTGGGTATCCTGTCCAAGAGCACATGACCCGATCTACGAGATCCCGGATTCCACTGGATCGCGGACTAACAGGATCACAAACTCAAAATATTGATAGAATAGTCAACTAATCCATGCTGTGGGGCATTGTTTTAAATCAATATTTTGCTCTGGTTTGAGCAGTTGAGTTTTAAAAAAACCCACTCTAGTGATATGTCCTTGGAAACAAATATTAGCTCTGCCCAACCGCCGTTTCTCGTCATTGTTTGCTTCTATCATGTTCATTCTTGATATCCTGCCAGCTATAGGTTGTTGTGATTGCATACAACCTATTACGACATCGGTACTTATTTCTTCCCTCCCCCTTGTGCAGTTTCATCTGCTTAACTTTAGTCATTCACACACACACACACACACACATGCATACACTTGTTGCCCATTCGTTCCAGATTCCCACATTTGCTCGTTTCCGGTTGTGGAAAGGATTTATGCGTTGGCGTAAAGTGATCAGATATACTAAGATGGAACAATGCCGGCGCTATCTACGGGACAATTTGTACATCGCGAACTCCTCTCTTCGACCGGCATTGCTCAATGTGCGTGAAATGTGCTATCGGATCAGTGATATGGGTCTGTGTAAAATGGAGAAGGGTAAAACGTACACTCTGTTGGAATTTCTCACCAATCAGGTGAATCAGTTGAACGAGGTGTGCACACGGTTGTGTGAATTTCGTGAACTGGTGAAAGAGGTGGTTCGCAGTGCATGTCGGACTGCTTTGCTCGAGGCCGGTTTCATGCCAGACGATTATTTTGTCGAGTCCAATGCCAGCCCAATGTGTATGGGTAAGTGGAACTGGAATGTGGGATATGTGACGATCAGAGATCAATGCAATCGGGCAGGGTGCGGATCAGAAAATGGTTAGATTTGTTTGACAAGTAGTCACAATTCTGAATTTGTATTAAACAGTTGATTACCTGTCAACCCGATTGCAAGCGAATACCGCAATATGTGAATTTCAAATGAACCTGAAATATGTAGAGTATCAAGTTTGAATTAGTCATTTCGACTGTTCAGAAGTATCAGGCACTCTTTGTGGTCTTGGGTTTGGGTTTCATTCCTTGGCAGATTGTTAATTCTCCACTAGTTTAAGGTATTTGATTGCGATGGAAGTGGTTATGATGACCGATAAAGAGCACCAGGGCAGCTGTTTCGTGCTGTTTGGGACTCATGTAGTTCAGGGGTAACATCTGAAGTCCTGAACCGAATGTTTGTGATTCCAGTCCTGACACGAACCCAGAAGTGCACACTGTTGACGAATCTCAAACTGGACGAAACAGTTGCCCAGTGTTGCTCATTGTCGGTCATCAAAAAGATTTCTATCGCAATTAAATAAACCTAAAATATACTTTGCCACAAATGTGATGGTCACAAATGCAATAGAACTAAGAATGATCAATTCCTTGCTTCTGACTTACTTTTGTTGAATATACGAAGATACAATTTTCAGAAAGGGGAAAGCGATCAATCAAACGATAGACTGCCATACAACACAAATGGGGAAAGATAGACAGTTGTGATGGGATTGGAACACACATGTTCTCCGGTGTGATAATTTGGTGACGCTACCACCGTCTACGTGACCTTACAGATCTTAGAGTCTCTGTACTATTTATTGTTCAATTGTCTGATAGTTTGCATAAATGATGAAACACCATTTCTAATTTCAGTTATGTAGTCATAGACTTAGGCAGATGATAGTTAACCGTATAGCTCAGGAATCAGGGTTGCAGGCCCACATCCACATCCCATACTTGAAGGTTCGCGGTTGTAATCCGGGCATGGGACACCAAAATAGCTGATAGTTTTCAATGACGTTGAAACAATTGCCTAGTGCTATTTGTTATTTGTTAATTGCGAGATTAAATCAACTCCATTAGGGTTATTTTAAGCCTATAGATTATAACTCAACTGTCCAATCGAAAGCTGC